AACCAGCAGTGGGCTTCCAGCACCCTGCCTGCCACCAAAGTCACTGCACATAACGGTGCGAAGGCGATTCATCAGCACTTGCAAAGCTTTGTGAGATGGGAGGACACAGGGTGGGCTGAAAGTGAAAAGAACCGTTGTTCTGTCATACAGAGGAGTTTACAACCCATTCCTCATTCAGCTCCCAGTGTCCTAATAAAGCAGCAGCAGAAGAGAACACGTAGGATTGTGCTAGACAAGGTAAGAGCCAAGGAACAGAAGGCAACTGGGCAATGCTTGACAACGCTGTGGTCTGTGCTTTTCAGCTCCACAGTGAGCACACACGTGATTCAGGGCTGTGCTGCATCTCAAATCCACACCTTAGGGACACTGGATGACAGTGCTGAGATGCCTTGGTCTTCAGTGCCACGCAGGCAGAGGTGTGCAGTTCCAGAGCTCAGAATGAAGGGTTTGCTGTAATCCCACCTCAGAAACACACAGGAGCAGAGAGAACAATTCAACTTTGTGTGCATCAAACGAAGGTCACTGCAGCACTCCGGAATGATGCCTCTGTGGATTGGGTTCAGGTTGTGGGGAACAAAAGGTGCAACAGCATTAAAAATACACATTCCACGTCCTTCACCCTGTGTGACACAGGCTGTCCTACAGGAGAAGATGAAGAAAAGTGCTCAAATGTTTTAAAAGATAAATCTCAGCCGTGTGCTTGGGCACAGACTGCGCCGTGCTGCCACTGCTGCTGCGCTGGAAGAAAGCAAGCTCCTTTTCTCCCTCCTTTCCATTCCTCCCTCCAAGCCATTGCAGCAGTGCTTAGTGAGGATGAATGTATGTAAAAAGAGGACAGTTCACTATCTTTGAAAACAAACAAATGAAAGGGGTAGAAAACAGAAGCAGGTGGTGCAGTCAGTGCATCAGCAGCACGCCCAGCCTGGCGGGGACGTCTCTTTGATATTAATATAATCCCCCTTCCAGGAAGCAGCAGAACTTCCATCACCCGTGGATGAGGACATCATCTTCTCAATCAGGACTCTGGAAGACAAACAGATGTAAAGTTGTTTGGTTTTTTTTTTTGCTTCAACAAGCAGCATTGGGCCACAGAGAAGAACAAAACAAAACAACGAAAAACCAAAGCAACAACTCCTGGTTGCATAAAACTAAAGAGCTTTAAGAAAGAGAGGATCAGCTTCCTGGGTACAAGCTGCTCGACCAAGGGCAGCAGAACTTCTGACCTCTCCGAATTCAGTTTCCTTTCAGGAGATTCACTTGCATGTTATTGCTGCTATCTGTTACTCACTGACAGCATCTCCCCTTACAGCCAGTGCTGTCTGAAGGAGGGAATGAACTCCTGCTGCCCCAGTCGCTGTTCCTACCTCATAGACTCGTTAATGTTCTTGTTCTCCTTGACGGACGTTTCCACCCAACCAGAAAAGCCATTTTCTTTGCTGAAACGATCCACTTCTTCTCTTGTCACTGCCCACGGGGAAAGGTCACACTGTAAAACAGGAGTCAGCCAGGTGAGGCTCAGCCTTTCCATCCCCAGGCTGGGAGGGGAACTTCCCCTCTTGCCCGCTCAGTGGTGGGCAGTGGCAGAAGGGCTCAGCCCTTCACATCTCCGCCATCCCAACCTGACACACAGTTCTCAGCAAGGTTCTTAGCAGGATGTTGCAAGCAGCAATACGTTTATCTCATCTGAGATCCTGACACACCTCAGTCGAGCATTCATACAATGGAGGTTCCACCAGAAAGCACCGTCACTCATCCCCAACCCAGCAGCAGCAGGACAGCATGAGTGGCACAGCGCTGCTGGGAAACCCACACTGCTGGCACTGGGGGGAGTGGGAGCATCTATGGGAGAAGAGCCCTGTTAGTGTGAGCACAGCACCCACAGGCACACAGCTGCTCCCAGTTCAGGCACAGCTGCTGTCAGGGAAAGCGTTCTTTGTGAAGAAGCGGAGAAGAAAAGCTGCTCTCCCAGCCAACTTTTGTGTTTTTGATTCAGCTTCAACTTCAGGCTCTCTCAAACCAGGCAAGCTGAACCTGGAAATGACTGCTGAGCTGATGTTAGTGCGTGAAGAACATAAAGGTACTTCTTAAGTGAAAAGAAAATGAATCATTAAATGACAGCAACCAGTGTGCACAGTGCAACCTGATGCTGCATCCAGAGGAAAAGCAGACATCCATCCCTCCAGAGCTTGTTTGTCACACACCAACCCTGCTGTGGAGCAACCAGCTCATGGAAGAGCTGGAGGAAAGCTTTGAACACAGGGGTGCAGAACTGCAAAAGGAACTGCATCCTAGGAGCAAGCAGTTGCTAACATCTCCTTGGGGCTGCCTGTGTGTTAAGTCCTACTGTATCCTTGTTAACATAAAAGCCTTGCTAGAGACAGACAAACCAAGAAGAATTCAGGAAGGATTTTGGAACAGCTGCCCAGAGAGGCTGTGATGCCCCGTCCATCCCTGGAGGTGTTCAAGGCCAGGTTGGATGGGGCCCTGGGCAGCCTGGGCTGCTATGAAATGTGGAGGTTGGTGGCCCTGTATGTGGCAGGGGGTTGGAGCTTCGTGATTCTTGAGGTCCCTTCCATTCTGTGATTCTTTGAAGACCACAAGCTGTCCTACAACCTACTGGTGAATCATCCCTTGCCTTCTGCACTCGCTCTGCCGTTGTGGAGGTGCAGGCACACACACACACACACACACACACAGCCTGCTCTGTGCTGCTCACCTTGTTGGCCAGCAGCAGGCACGGCACTGGGCTCCCATCCGGCAGCGTCAGCTTGCTGTCCAAGTCCTGCTTCCACTTCTGGCTGTTGCTGAAGGTGCTGACGTTGGTGACATCAAACATGATGATGCAGGCTGACGCCTCCCTGTAGTACAGCCGGGTCATGGACGTGAAGCGTTCCTGCCCTTCAGGATGAATAGAAAAGCAAAAAATCCCCCCAGAAGTTACCGTTTTTAACACTTAACCAAACAAGTGCCTACAGCAGCACTTCATTTCTTCAGCTCTAAACTCCATTTAGGAAACAGAGGCACTGGGGTGCATCATCATGCGAGGTGAGAAAGCAGCGATGTGGGACCACCTGCACTCATCTCCTCCTGCTCAGCCCCCACCGAGCGCTGCATGGGATGAGGGGACTTTGCTTTCCCTTCCCAAATATCTTTTTGGGACTTTTTCTTAATCCTCTTTTCAGGACCGAAACTGAAATCCGTTTCTTTGCTGCAATCCCCTCGTTGCAAACTTCTCCTTCCTGTTTTCTTTATGAAGATTCCAGACTCTCACACCCAATACGGCGAAAATGGGGGGGAACCCACAACCCTGCATCCCGATCTGCTCTGCATCCCAAATGCCCTCCCTTCCCAGCACAGGGAGCTCAAACTGTCCCCTGGAGGAGCCTCATCCCAACCTGGGCGCAGTTTTGAGCTCTGTCTGAACGTACCTGCAATATCCCAGAGCTGAAGCCTCACCGTCTCCGACTCCGACCACTGGACGACCTTCAGGGCAAAGTCCACTGTGAATCCCCAAAAGAAAGGAAACGTTGTTAGGGACATTTTGCACAGAGCAGGAGGGGCTGTGAGCGCTGTGCCCTCTCCTCTGTCATAGAAAGCTGCAAAATGGGCCTTAAATCCAGACAGCCCCACACGCTGAGCCAATGCCCGCAGCTCAGCCGTAACAAACTTGGCAGGGAGCAGAAAGGCACAGCCATTATCTCGGGTTGGGCTGCTTTATTTTTTAACTGCGGGAGGAAAACCGGCCCCCAGTGCTGCCAACCCTGCAGGCCTGGAGCTTTTTGAAGCTGGGAACTCGTCGTAAGAAGGATCGTGGAGCTCACGGTGCTGCAGCTTCCTCGGGACGTGGCCCTGCAGAGCGTTCGGCATCGGGCTGAGGAATCCCCCTGTGGGTTCACGGCAGCCTCTGCGTCCCCAGCAAAGCCTCACAACCCCCCACTCTTTGCAGCTTCGTTCACATCCACGTTACACAAAGATCTCACCCCAAAACTCGTTCCGAAGCAGTCACAATCTGTCCCCCCCCCGTCCCCCCCCCCCAACCTCCCCATACTCCCAGCATTGACCTCACACACAACAAACACCGGCGGCTACACGGGACGGAGCCGGGACCCCTCCGAACCCATTGAGAAAAACCCCGCTCAGCACCTCGGATCTCCGCTATCGGTACGGATGGGGATTCAATCCCAACCGCCCCCCCCCCCGGTAATTCGGACCCCCCCGAGCCGCTCTCACCCCCCACTGTGGATTTGTAGTGCCGGTTGAAGCTGTCGTTGGCGTAGCGTTGCACCAGCGATGTTTTCCCCACCGTGGCATCTCCCACCACCAGCACTTTGAACATTCGGTCCCGATGCCCCATCGCTTCCCCCCCCTTCCCCAACTTCGCCCCCCGCTCCCCCCCCCCCTCCCCCCGGTGCTGAGGTCACGTGACGGTCAGGCGGAATCGCGCAGTTCCGGAGCGCTTCGGGGCGGGGGAAGATCGGAATAGAAGGGAGAGAATGGAACGGAGGTGAACGGGATGGGATGGAATAGAACCGAATAAAACGGAACGAAACAGGATGGAAGAGAGCGAAACGGAACGGGAATTGAATAGCACGGAATGGAACAGAACGGGGCGGAATGGAAGAGCACGGAAGGGAACGGCACGGAGCAGGAGAGCTGTGGGAGGCACCAGAGATCACAGAGCCCCGATCCCTGAGCGCTGTGGGCTGGCCAGAAGTTACAGCACATCACTGGGAGCCGTCACCGACCCGTGCAGGGCATCGCACAGCTCTGCTGTCTGACCCCCCCCCCCCCCTTAGGAAAGCCTTTTCCTTACTTCTTCCTGACCCCCCCCCCATGCACAGCTCGGTTCTGTTCCCCTGCGTTCTGCCATCCGTTCCCAGGAGCACAAACCCACACCTCCTTCCTTCCTTCCTTCCTCCCTCCCTCCATCCTCCCAAAGCCGAACACAGAGCATCACTGCTGCAAAACAGGAGCAGCTTTGAGCCACACATGGAGACCGATGAAAGAACGGCACCGAAGTCCACATAAATAAATGTCATCTTTATTTAACGAAATATAATTTATCAGCAGTTGACATCCGTCAATCCAGTTACAGTAACTATAAATAATTAAGACAGTCCTTTTGTTGTTTTTCCTTTAATAAAAAGAAGTAAACGGGTGTTTCTCATTTGCAGTCAGCTGTAGGTTGGGCCATGCAACCGAGTGCAAGTGGTGGGAAAAGCTTTTGGCTGTCGACGTGCTGAAATGCTAAATGAGATTCTGCACCACTCCATTCACCCCGCAGCACCTCTGCACCCATGGGAGACCACAAGCACAGCTCTGGCACCACTTCTTTCCTGGGGAACCAAAAGCTGACATCACAGCACGGAGCAGCGATGGCACGGCTGCACACAAACGTGTGTTAGCAGAAGGAAATCTCACGTCCAGCCCTCGGCATCAGGCATGGATAGGAGGTGACAGCAGAGGATGCTGTAGGAGCCCCCAGGCTCAGACTGCTCGCTTTGGGGTGTGAGTTTGGTTGGTTGGTTTGTTTTGGTTTTCCTTTTGGTGTTTTTGAATAGAGCTGCGGCTGAATCAGACCCGCGAGCAGCCAGAATCACTGCAGGGAACAGGAGGAGGGTCAGAGCTACTGCAACTAAGGACAGCACAGAGATGGGGAGGAGGAAGGCGAGCTTCACATCAGCAAGGTAAGGAAGGGAGCACTGCCTCTTTGTGCAAGAAACGCTGAGGACAACCTAAGGGAGGAACTGAAGCCAATCCAGACAAAACAAGAAACGCAGCAGCCTGTAGGCAACCCCAAATCCTGCAGCTCTCCAGTGATGCTCTGGATCTGCAGGCAAACAGGCCAGGCAGCAGCACAGCAGGGCTGCAGTGTGAGCTCTGTGAGAGCTCAGGTGTTATTTCAGAGCCAGGGCACCACGCTGGGCACTGAGGGCATCTCTGTGCTTTGGGCACTGCGGCACCAAAACTGGGTGCCATAGGATGCTATGATCCCCATCCCTACCAACATTAGCAGCTCTCTCCCATGCACACATGCATTCAGTTTACATCTGAGCCTGTTTAACAGTGCTGCCTGCTTGAGTGCATCACTTAAACTCGATGCAGCTGAGTGAAGCTTCCAAGTCAATAAGACCTGCTTAAATAAACTGTGCTCAGCTCACTGAATCAATTTCCAAATGGGAAAAGTACAAAGTGCTGACAGCACTCAGGAAGATGATTTACAAACGCCTCAGTCACACAGCCAGAACCGCATGCTGCAGACTGCATGAGAATCCTCCCAGCCTGCAAAGGCAGAGGAAAGGAAAGCTTCCTGGCCACCTCCCAGCTGGGCAGCACAAAAAGCAGGAGGGAAATAAAGCTCACAGTTGCTCAGGCTCTGCTGGGCTGTCACCAACCTCAGGCTCCACGCGCAGCTCAAGGCAAGCAGGGCGCTCTGCTGAGAGCCACACAGCGCTGCACCAACGATGCACGGCTGCACAACTCAGGCTGTGCTGCTGACCTGTTTTCCTGCTTTCTCCTACGCATACAGGGAAAGCCAATGGCTGAACACAGATGGCATCTTCTAAGAGACAGCAGTAGCATAAGGCTCCCGAGTTTGAAATGCTTCAGGCTCAGCAAAAGAAGGTACTGAGCAGCTCCTGCCCAGCTGCAGTGGGCCCAGCAGCAGCAGCACACACACAGCAGCTGAAAGCAAGCCTAAATGCACAAAACTGGATCATCTCCAGACCAGAGAGCTGCATGCTTTGGGTGCGAGGCACAGGGGAGGGATTTGGGGAGAAAACATGAAGGAGAAAAGGTCACAGGACAGAAAATGGGAGATCCCCGTGTCCTCATCCACAAGGCTGCACTTTGCTAGAAGTTGCCCTCTCAGCAACACACATCTGAACCTTATCTCCAGTATTTAAAACGCTTATGAAGCGAACAAAGCAGCCCTTCACCTCCAGTGTGCTCCATCAACTGATGGGCAGCTCCCCTGGAACACTGGTCAGACAACTGCTAGGAAATTGCACTTGGTGATTGTCTCATTACACTTTCGCGTCCTTCCTAAAACTAGATTTATTTTTCTGTACAAACTTGGCTTGAAATATAAACCACATAAAATTCCCATTGAAAATAATGAGAACCTTGTATCAAAGATGAAGTCTCGTGAGAGACAGGGTTGGGGGGGGGGGAAAGGAGGAGAGCGAGGATGGAAGAAAAACAACCATGACAAAAATTAATGGAGGAGAACTGAGAGGAGGGGAGGGGCAGCAGGGAGAGCTAATCCCCCACATCGGAATCCCGGTCACCAATAAGCCAGAGGACATGAAAGCTGAGAGCAAGGAGCCCCGTTCCGATCAGGTCACCCAGCGCTGTCAAGTAGGGGATGGAGAAGTTGTCAGGATCGAGGTCCCTGCCCCACATCCAGTGCACCATCCAGTCAGCAATGTAGAGCAGAATGAGAACCTGGGAGGGAGGCAGAAAAGAGCCACGTCAGCCACAGCCCCAACCTCTGCAACCCCCGTCCTCATGGAGCAGCACTGCAGCCCCTCACCCCCCTCCTTCCATTCGTGTGCCCCCGTCACGTTCAAGGCTCAGTGCACTGATACCCAAACACCAGCAACTCTACATTTTGCATCTCCACCCTCAGATCTAACCAGAAGAAGCTCAGAGTAACACACGCAGAGCTCCAAAAGAGAGGACTGGGAAGCACACAGGACTGTAAGCAACATCTGGATCCCAGGGATAAAGAGCAGCTTCCCAGCAGCTGAAGCTCGTTCTCCCATTCTCCACACCTCCTTCACATCAGTGATTAAAGACAGCACAAATCCACACTGGATCCTCTGAAGCCTCAGGTCTGGGACAAGGTCTGGAAGAGGCTGCATACCTCTGACCACCACCTCTGGTTGCTCAGGGCTGGGAGGGCCTCAGCACCACAGAACCACACAGCCCAGTGCCCCCCAGCCTGCATGCTGCTCATGTTGGGGCTTCACAGAGCAGCTGTGAGCAGCAGCCCCCTCCTCATGCCCAGGCACCCAGCAGGAGCTCATAACTTCAATTTAGCCTCTCAGATGACAGCTCCCTGCCCTCGTCTCTGATGGAAGCTCCGACTCATTTTCTCAAGCCAGCTTCAGTTGTTGATTTTAGGGGACACCAAAACCAAGGGGCGAGCAGAGGGAGCTTGGCCAGGCTTTGTACAAAACTCTCATTTCTGCAGCAGGAGCAGCTGGGTCTGTGCACATCCCTCACACCAACCGCTGCCCGTGGGCTCACAGAGCTGCTGTGAGAGGAACAGGAGTGCCAGGCCCCTTCCCCATGTGGGCAGGAAGAGCCATGAGCACGGGGGGTCCTGCAAACTGCACAGCCTGCTTTCTTTACAAATGACTAAAGAATAGATTAACACAGAAGAAGGAAACAGCAGAGACCTCTTGGGGGTAGCATACATCCCTCAGCAATGCATCTACAACAGCTGGCAGAGCAGCTCCCTGCTGCAGGTGACACAGCAGTGCTCCTTACTGCAGCCTGAGCAGTTGCAGCCCCCCGGAGGGGCTTCAGCTCACCTGGAGAAGTGCAGCTGTCATGTAGAAAACAATGAAAATAGGGGTGAGTGTAGTGTGTCCACCTTGCATGGAGCTGATGGTGTAAAGGAAAACCAGGTGTCCAGGCACGACCAGAAGGAAGAGCACACGGGCAGAGCGGGAATTCACATCTGTTGGGAAACAAAGGTGGAGTTCAGGCTTCAGTGGGATGGGAACACAGCAGCTCTGCAGCCCACCTACAGCTGGGGCTGAGCAGAAGCAGACACCAGAGCACTGGACTCTCATCTCTGCAGTCCAGTTTTAGGCTGGAAAACAGCACCCCGATGCTGACTTAAACGTCAGGATGAACAAAGACTCCATCAAACTTGGTAGGAGAGCTTAACTCTGCCCCCAGAGCAAAAGCTGTTCTCAAAGCCCAGCTGCCAAAAGGACTCGTCCCACCTCTGACAGCACTGAGTTCCAAGCTGCCAGGAGTCCACCATTAAGACTGAATTTCCTTGGAGCTCTGCTGGCACCTTGTCTGGAGATCAGTTTTCTGACAGGTGATGACTGCACTGGAGACCTCTGCCCCTTTCTGCTTCCAAACCCTGCAGATTACAGCTGGTACACACGAACAGAGCACCTCGAATCTCCCTTTCCAGGTGGCAGCCTCTCTATCAGAAGGCCAGAACCCAGGCTACGGTGTGTCAAACCTCCCCCAGACAGTTTGGAGCATAACCACCTCTCCCCACACTAGGTAGCAATGTAGGTTTGGCCGCTCTCTGCTACACAACTGCTACAAATAGCAGGGCTAAGAAGCATCTGCAAGCTAATTTTCTGTAACAGTGGCTCTGTAGGCCCAGCAGACCTGTAATACTCAAGCAGCCCTCAAAGCAGGTTTAGGTATCCTGAACATCTGGAAAATATTCACTGGGTGGAGGAGTACCAGCGTTACACAGGCAGGGCATGAGACTTTGGCAACGTGTTTTCCTAATCCAGCAGGGATACGGCCTCTTGCATTGCAGCTTTGCTAAAGGCCCACCCGTCTCTAGAGGGCAGGGCAGGCCAGAAGAGCAGACAATCATGAGCTGACAGCTGCCTCTGAGCCTCAGCCACCATTTCCTGCGACAGCGCTGCAGTGACGGCCGCAGCCAAGCTCAGCCAGCCATTTGCAGCAACTGCTGCTGGCAGAACTCAACACATCTCAAGCCACAACTCGAGTACCTGAGCTGAAGAAAGTGCTGCAAGGGCTGGGGCATCTGCGAGGGGCTGTTTCAGGGCTCTCTCCAGGCATCCCGCTCATGTGCAGGTAAGTGGAGATGCGACTCGCCTGCACTGCCACCAGGTTGCCACCCACACCTGCAGGTAAGGAGAACAAAATAAGGCAACATTTCGATCCCATCTGAAAGCCATTTTCAGCAGCCAGCACAACCAGGTGCTGGGACAGTGCAAGACAGTCTATTCCTGACACAAACTCCACTTCTGCAGGATGTAAAGAGCTGAGACAAAGAATGCTGCTCCGCAGTTTCCCCCAGGGTCTCCTAGTAAAATACATACAGTACTATCATGGCAGCTTTGATTGGAAGGAATATATGAAACAAACATGACGAGTTGGTCACCAGAACAGACACTGGAAGCTTAAAGCTGCTGCTTTTTGCATGAAGCACAATGAAACTCTGGAACTCACCAACCCAAAGATGCGCTGCTGCAGAATTAACTCAATTTATTGCAAGGCTGAGAACTAGTGCACAACAGAGTTTCCTTGGTTCATTAGGCAGAAAGGAGGTCAAAGCTTCATTCCAGAACAATCTAGATTTCCTGACTCAAGTTGCAAACCCAAATCTTTATGTTACTGAGTGCTGCAGGGTTTGTATCTTGGATCAGGTGTCTTCCACCAGCCAGAAGTGGAAAACAAACACAGCTCTTGTTGTGGCTCAGACTTGGAAAGCTTCTCTCAGGCAACAGCCTCCCCTAGACCTGTTACCCTCTGCTGAAGGAGAAGCCACACTGCTGTAAAGGCTGGGTCTAACCTCATCTCACTGGTGATCTAGCAGAATTAGCCTCCTTAATCTGCCTGCACTGAGGCAGAGGCCAATTTCAGTGTCTGCCAAGAACCATCAGAGCTGCAATATCAGCATGGAAAGGAGCTTACCATTAATGACTGGTGTGAAGACAGCCATCCCAGCAAAGTTTGGATCTGAGACTGTTCTGTCCAGAATTAAACCCCCAACACTGCAGAGGGAAGAACGAAGAGGTCAGTGCTGAAGGCTCATCAGGCAGCACACAAAGCACTGCAGGTCCCCTCTGCTGCAGTCTGTGCACTGGGTGATGCATCCACCCACTGACCTGTGCAACCTCCCCAGGTGTAAGTGCATGGTTTAAGGCCTTGATATTTGGTAACAAAGGAAAGTTTTAGCACAGTCTTTATCCCCCAGCATACAGCTTACTGCAACACAGTGATCAACAGCAACCCTGCCCTTCAGAGGGCAAAGAAGGCTCCTGTGAGGACTGCTGGACAGGAGCTGCAGCCGTGCCAGCTGTGCAGCACTCAGCACAATGCTGAGGCCTTGGATTCCAGCAGTCAGGTGCTCAATATCCCTGGGCCTCAATCCCAATGGAAAACACAACCTGACCTCTGCTTCCTGGCAGAGGCCACTGTGAAAGGAGAAGTTTGGTTCTCCATCTTCTTTTGGAATCTGTCAAGCGTGAAATGGGTTGGAAGGGCTGGGGGAAAAAAGGGGCGTTTTCTGTTTGTGTTTCAGGGAGAAGAACTCTTGCACATCTTCCTACCTGCTAATTGCCATTGCAATGATGACTGGCTCCCAGCCAGAGTACAGCACCTCCCGAGTCGCTGCATTCTTCTTGGCAATGATGATCCAGATGGGCAGCAGAGCTATGAAGAAGGCACACACCAAAGGATTCACGTATGCTTTGCTCTCTGAGGGGGAAATAAGCAAAGGCAGCAGATCAAGGACACATCCTCAGCAGTGAGCACATACTTCAGCTGAGCTCATCAGCCCTGCCAGCAGAGAGCTGCCATCCCCACAGTCAGAACCATACAAACAAGAGCCAGCTTTTCCTCCTCATGCACCTGCTGAGTGCATCTTCAGTTTCCCAACTGCTCCTTCCTACTCCCCAGTCCTGGGTGAGACATCCCAGCAATGCTTCACCTTTGACTGAACCTGGCTGAGTCACATCCTCTGCATCCCAGCCGCCAGGGAAGGAGAATGGAGGAGAGGGAGGAGGAAATGTACAGCACACAGCTGTAGCTCTGCACTGAGGAGCCCCCAGCCGGTGCTGACAGCACACAAGGTTAAAACCAAAGCTGCCTTCCCCCACTGTTTTAGCCCTACCAAGCTGCTGGCACTCAGAAGCCCCAGAAGGATTAAGGGTAAAGGAACAGGGTGAAACTCAAGGGAGACATTGCAGCAGACGCAAGGACAAGGGAGAGACAAAAGCCTTTTGTTGCTCCTCACCCAGCTCTTTGTACAAGCCCCAGCTGATTCCTGAAAGCAGAGCCAGGGTGATGAGATCCCCCAGGCTGGCAGCAATTGGTGTAGCCACGTTATCAGGATTGATTCCCATCTTCCTGGATCCAATGATGACTCCAATCATGATCATGCCTACAGCAAAAAAAGAGGAAGAAAATAGGATGAAGGCAAGGAGAGCCCAGCATGTTAGGAAGAGGTGCATGGAGAACGTACATGATGCATCTCCTACCCAGAACAAGGGAAGCAATGAAAGCAGTAGCCACGCTGCTGGCACAGAGCAGGACAGCGTGGTCAAGGCTGAAGTGCCCATCTGGAATCCATCCAAATATCACAGCTGCAATCGAGGCCAGGAAGCCAACCACGGTAGCCTGAACCTGAAAAGAAAAGCAAAATCATCATCAAGAAGACTGAGGCAAAAATGATACTGGGGTAAACTATTTCAGGTGGGTTAGCATTCAGCAAGGAAACACCAAGTTCAACCTTCAGGGCAAAGTAACCAAGGGATAATAAGGTGCCATTTGTCTCCCTGCCAGACGTGCAATACTGAATACCCAAGTCAGTACCCAAGAGAAGACATTCAAGCCTTCTGACACCTCTTTCAAGCTGGATTTCAACAACTACCAACTTCCCATGTTTTCTTCCTCATTTTCTTACCTGTATCAGAGCCATGTTCCCTGTTATCATCTTCCAGAGCTCTTTGGGTGTATCCATTTGGCCAATATTAGCCTGCAAGAAGACATCAGGGCATCAGCAGACCATTAAAAGACGGATGGCATTTTGCACTTGCTAACAGTCAGATTCTTGCCTTTCAGCCACGCAGGTTTGTGCCAGGAGCAGGAGAGAATAATGACTGCAAATCCTCACCTCTCATAGCAGAGCAATTTAGCAGCAAAGGCACGTGTGCCCACGTGCACACAGATGCACAGCCAGGGTACATCTCTGTAGTGACAGCCAAGTTTGGGGCACGCAGCTCTGTATACATGGGCTACAAAGCCCAAGCAACAACCTGTAGCTCTTCCAACAGTTAACCTGGCTTTGTTGCCCAGCACACCAAAGCTGTTCCCAGTTTCAGCTTTGACACCTCTCTCCATCAGCAGGAACGGGCTGACACACTTCTATGCAGCAAGAGCAGAGCGCTACAGAAGGAATTTTGAAGGCAGCATAAGGCAGAACCAACAGCAATAGAAATTCTGATGAGAATCCTGCCAAAGCAACAAGATACACTCTGCCCTCACTCAGAGCCACGCGCTGCTGCTTGAATTTACTTCAGTGGTGACCAAGCCAAGCCTGGCCCAGGCCCAGTCGGGTCACACTACCTCTCGATTTGGCCAGCCAGGAAGGAAGCAGGGGTTGCACAGATCACAGGTCAGCTGAGTGCCCCCAGCTCTGACACGGGACAAGGCCAGAGCAGCACCATGTGGGCACAAGGAGCTGGCAGCAAGAACCACTGGTGGCGATAAAAGTTGAGTAAACAAGGCTAATGCCACGTGGAGACCTAGTGAGAAGCAGGAAGCAGCCATGGCACACGGGTCATCTGGCATCACTACGGGAGATGCTAATCAGAACAACCAGAACAGAAGGAAAGCTGCTTTAATTTCTTGGCATACAATCCAAACAAAACCCAGCAGAATCCCTGCAGGTCGCAGCTTACACAGGAGTTCTGCTCTCCCCAGCACCTTCTGGTCCTCACAGTAAGTTGGAAAGGACAGGCAGAGAGATTGCGCCTGCATACAATCTTGTAGTATTCAAAGCTGATGAACATGAGGGAGAAACAAGTTTGTCACTATGAAATCACAAGGGAGAGGCTCAAGAAACGTGAAGTAGTTGCACGATGGAGTCACTGGCTGAAAGTGTCAGACTTGTGACAAACAATAGAGCAGCGATTCCTGCCCCTCAGGTTTCTTTCCTGTCTACACAAAGAAAGAAATCTGCCATCAGCCAACCCTCCTTACTGCACACACACTGCAGAGAGCTGCCAGGCCACGTCCACCACCACTCAGATCTGCCCATCTCCAGGGTGAATCCTTCTGGTTGGTTCAGGTGAAGGGAAGAAAGACTGGGGAAAAACAAAACCCTGACCATCGAGCTGCACTGAGCACATCCAGCACAGGAATCTGAGCTCCATGCGAAGCCTGACCTTAACATTCCTGCCACATGGCAATTAGGTTGGGATTAACATAACCTAGCTGTAGTCACTGGCAACAGGATTTTAATCCTCTAACTTAATGGGAGAGTTTTGCTTCTTAATTGCAAAAGGAGCTTCTGAGGTGACTTAATGCAGCACTAATTAGAAACCCACAATCTCAGGAATCCTTCCAAGTCTGCTTTCCTGCGGAGCAAGCAAGAGAACTGCATGGTGAAGCACTGCCCAGAGGAGAGCCCACTCCCCATGGGAAAAAAGGGAACACTAAAGAGGCTGTCAAAGCCCATCATGCATCAATACGAGGGAGTGGTGTGCAAGGCTGGGAGATTCACACAGAAGCAGCACAGCCTTCATGGGAGGAAGGAAAGCAGGGGAAGAAGGCAGGACAGGCGTGTGAACTGGAGGGATGCTCTCTGTGCCAGTTGCCTGGTGACTCTGCTGCAGCCACCAGAGCAGATGGGAGAAAGTTCTGCATTCCTGTCACTTCCCACACAGCCAGGACAGCCTCATTTCCCCACCAAGCTGCTCTGGGCCAACCCCATCAGGATGGGGATGGAGAAAACCAAGGCTGCAGAAAAACTTTGCTATCTATCTTGGTCCCAGCAGAGCTAAGCGCTCACCCTGATCAGTCCACGCTTAAAGTGTGCTCTGAAAGCTGGCCAAGCCAAGGCCAAGAGGGAAAATGGCCTGTGTTCGGGTCAGTGAGGATTCTGACATGATCTGAACAATAGGGAATGAATAAAACAAAGGGATTTGTTTCTGAGAACGAAGGAGCAAACAAAGCTCAGCCGGCCACAAGCTGCAGCGCTCAGCCTGACCCTGCGAGTGCAGGAGCACAGCAGCTTTGTTCTCTCCAGCAGCACCTGGAGGGAGGAGATCAGCACCAAGAGAAGCTGTTCCCAGGTGGAGGTGGTTCCCAGCAGAGCTGGGGCCAAGCCAAGGGCAAGTGAAGCCCACATGCCTCTGGTTCAGTGAGTTAAAAGGCACTGAGGAGCAAAGAGTCTCAGCATGGATCACCCCACTGCTTAAGATGGAAGAAAGAGAAGCCAGAGGAGCAAATACACCGAGCTCTTCTATGCTTCCCTATGCTTTCTCCTGCAGCAACCAGAAAGAGAGCATGATAAGCAGCAGTGCCATGCTTGCTGCTGCCACCCAGACAGACCATTCTTCATCTGCAGTGCCAAGGCTGAGCCCAGGCTCTGGCTGCAAGGGCTCTCTTCCAGCACTACCCAGCACAGAAACAGTAGAAGTAAACACAGCAGGTAGCTAACACCCTGCAGATGTAAGGTTCAGAGCTACACGCTCACCATGGCACCCACAGAAACATCAGGCTGTCACTTGCTGTCACATCCAAGTAGATGCTTTGCAGATGGAGTATTACTGTCCCCGTTAAAAGAAGATGCCTCTCTCCAGTTCTGCTCAGCTACAGAGAGACTGCTGTGTTACAGAAACGTTTAAACACAAAGCAATTCATTTACAGCTGGACTAAGACACTATTCTGAGGAGCCAACAGAGCCTGTCTCCATTTCTCATAGGGAGCTCACTGTTATGTGAGAATCAGACTGAATTCTAGCAAGAGAAATGCCCTGCCATTCCTCTCCATCATTTTGAAGAGGCTGTCAATCCACCTGACAACTCTCTCTGCAAGCTCTCCTCCATCTCAGCCTTTGCTGTACAACTCTCTGCAGGCTCTCACCTCCCAGCCCTGCTGAACCTGGCTTGTTTTGGCCTGCTCCGTGTGCTCTGGTTGCATCCCTGCACCCAGCTTCCTTGTAAATGAAACCAGATCCAAACACTCCAGGTACTAAACTGCCAAAGCCTTTTTGTGCACCATCCCTCCAGGCTCACGAGCAGACAAGGAAATGAACTGTCAGCAAAGCTTAAGGACTTCTGAGCCTTGAAATCTGATCAGTCAAACGGGATGGAAACACCTGGCTAGACAGTTCAGCTCCAACCTGTGCTTTGGGTGGTCACTGCATTCATACACACGTGCAAATCCCTTCCTGCCTCCCCAAAAACAGACATCCTGCTCCTCAGCACGCCCTGGATACTCACAGCTGTTGACAGGCGAGATGCCAGCGTCATCTCCAGGTTCCCCTTCAGACCCAGCAGTGCTGGCACCAAGATGAAAACCTCGGTCACGTATTTGAAGACATCCCAGTGCTGCAAGATCGAAACAAGAAAAGACCAAATAATAATAATAATAATAAATCACAGCTGTTAGAAACCTTGGCTTTGGATTGAGAACCTCCTCCACTGCCTTTGCACTCTGGCACTGCTTGCGTGCAGCCCTGAGTAATGACTCAGTTTCACTCCCAGTCCTGGTGCCACGCTTTTCAGCAGTGTCACTGCTCTGACATTTACGCAGCAGTGACCGCACGGTTCCTGCAGAGCTTACAAACAGGATCTCAGCCTGCAACTTTCAGTTCAAAATCCCCCAAAGCTCAACTGCTGACAAAACACTTACGCACGTAGAGGCCAAGAACAGGGAGAGAGGAAGAAGCTCTGCCCAACACACGCCGGTTTTGGCAGAACCCAGCACTGAAGTTTGCCCACAGGCATTCCTCACACGAGCTTCTTCCAAACACCTCGCAGAGCTGCAGCTCCCTGGTGCTGCCAGCCCCAAGCAGTGGCTCACTGCTGTCTCTGCTCCCACTTCCACTGCAGAGGGGTTGGAACCACGTGCTTATTAAGATCCCTTCCAACCTAAGGCGCTGTATGACCCTAAGATGCTCTCCCAGAGGTGTGTGCCCTCGCTCTACCTGGCACATACAGCACACCTGCAGGTATCTGCAACCCAGTTTCTCTGGACAAGAGACAGAACAGGCAAGAAAAAAGAGTAACTGTTGGGCATGCAGTCTCATAGGAGAGCAGCTGGCTTCCCAGAAAACATGAAACCATCCCCAAAAACTCACAACTACGTTAAAAAAAAGTATGAATGCAGGCTGTGCAAACCTCTCTGCCTGATTCCCTGTTCTCACGAGCGTTTTGAAGGAAGATTGCTGTGTCCAAAATAACCCCTGCTTCCCACACTGCTTAACTGGCATCCTCCTCAGAGGAAGCTGCTGGAATGGTGCGTTGAGAAGCTGCCTCCTGTGCTGAGCACGTTGGCAGCTGCAGTTTCCTTCCTGCTGTTACCTGCCCTGGGCCCTGTGTCCTCAGCTCCCCCCTTGGCAGTGCTGCTCAGGCTGAGCACCCAGAAGGATGTGGAATTCCTTCTAGGACAAGGAACACTACAGCCAACACCTTACAGCGAATGAAGCTCCCTACCTGCACGATGAACACCTTCCTGTTGGGAAAGACTTCAGTTATTTTTGTTTATTTTTCCATCCTTTGTGATGCTTGCCTCCGGCTCTGGGACACTCAAAGCCAACGAGCTCCAGCTTCCTGCCAGGTCTTTTCCAGTACCCTGCTCAAACTGCAAGCACTGGAAGAACAGTCTGATAGAGAAGCGTGATCACAGGAGGCTGCTGAGCACTTGAGAAGGATGAACTGGGACCATTTCTCAGCCACTCAAAAAGCACTCCTCTGTTTAGCACATCTGACAGCGCTGTGAGAACAGCCAATAACGTTCCCACCCCCGGGTGCAGGGATGGAAGCTGCTCAGCTGTTCCAGGCACTCCTCAGAGCCCCCCACTGCAGGTTCCACACGCTCACCTCCTCCTGAAGCAAATTCTCTCCCGGCTGCTGCCATGGGCAGTGCCCAAGGAAACCCTGCAGCCTCTGAACTGCTTGCACACAGTGAGCCTGAGCCCCGGAGACTTCCTGCCCACAGCCAGAAGTGCCTTAAAAGCTACATCTCTGCACAGCCATCCCAGCCAGCAGTGCAGAGGGATGCTTCCTTGCAGCACCCACCACTGAGCAGACAGAGGAGGGAGAATCAGTCTGAAAGACTTCCTTTGGCACAGCAGCACACCAGGCTGTGCTTCCTTTAAGGTCACACCTAGGAACAGCGAGCCCTGCTCTCCTCAGCCTATTTTTAGGCAGGCATGGCAGTCATTACAATGATTTTGCTGCTTGCTGTAACTGGCAAATCCTTTACTACGACTTCCCTGTGCAGTACCTGGAATTCAGTCAGTGTGCAGCACGCTCCCACTTTGCAGCAGGACGAGCTGGGTGTCAGAATCACTTCCTGAAAGGAACGCCATCGCTGGTCTGACCACAGGCTGGAAGTGCTGTGCAACACCTGCCTGGCTCCTCCTTCCTCCAGGCAGACCACAGGGGCACTAAAAGGGTCAGGCAATAGCCAGCATAGGGCTGCAGCCCTCTGCACTTCATCCCAGTGCCAGCCGTGCAGGTTAACCTTTAAAGGAGGCTGCGCTGCAAACCAGTGCCAGGAGCTGCTGTAACTGAGTAAGACAGAGGTGTTGCTGGGGAAAGGAAAAAAAGCCATCTTTGGGGACAGAAAACAAGATTTCTGCAGACATCAGCAGCTCGTTTTACTGCAAAGAGCAGGACCTGTGGGCTCCTGCCAACGTGCTTAATATAAGATGTTACACAACACTGGTCTACGGGCACTTTGTACGTCTCCAAGGCCTCCTGGCTCCTGCAGAGCACAGCCTTACAGGAGAGCCTCTTCACTCGCCCCATAAGGGAGCAGACAGCACAGCTCACACGGGTTGCCTTACTTCACCCACATCTGCCCAGCAGAGGCACTGGGTTCCAGCATCAAGCCCAGGTGGTGTTTTGCTGTTCTTCCAGGCTTGCTGCGTTTCAGAGGCTTTGCACCTGCAGGCATCAGATACTTCCAGGACAACAGCTGCTTTTTTGGCCTCTGCTGTGTTCAGTTGCTGTGTGTGGGGTTAAAGCGTGCAGCAGCATCGTGAGTCGGAGCAGGATGGTGACTCAGGACAGCTCAGAGGGAAGGAAGTGCTGTGAAGCAGCAGGTCAGAGCTATCGCTGCCTCAGCACACGGCATCTTGGCCCTCCCAATGCCCCAAAGAGACAAGCAGCCTTGCCAGGAGAGCTGCAGCCCCGAGGAGGAAAGCACCAGGCACAGCAGATGCGTGAGGAGTCATGTAAGATTCTTCCAGGATCACCCCTTCAACCACAGCACTCAGTGGGGTGAGTCTGAAATTCAGGACAACAGCACAGCAATGAGAAGTGGGCCAGAGCTGGACGAAGAAGCAAGGCTCAGCATTCCCCACTGCTCCCAACGGGGATGCTAACACCAGAGGTGGCCAAATGGGGAATGAGCAGATGCCCTCCTCCATATTCAACCCCATCTAAAGCCTCTCCAGGGAGCAGGCAAGTCTGGAAAACAACAATCAAAGCTCTGCAGGGAGAGGGGACTGTGCCAACAGCGCCCTGCTGTATACAGAGAAGCAGGTGGCACACGTGTAGGTCTCCAAATCCAAAGGGAGCAGAAACAAATTAATAGGGACACATTAATGGGACAACGTGGCCAGAGGCCAGGGCTGCTTGTTTTCACACCGGGGAGACAAATTACAGCTGGTTGATTATTCTATTTGTCTCAAGTGGAGCAAATTGAGTGCATGGAGCCTTCCATCCATCAGAAACCACGGCGACATCCAAAGCAATGGGACTCCTGCCTGCCCCCAGCAGCTCGCTGCCTCCTTCCCCAAGGCTCTGAGCCTCTGGGAAGCCAGTTCTTAAGATCAGCTCCCCAAACTCCACAGGCAGACAAGCTGAGACCACACGTTTCCCTCCCCCGTTTCCACCCTATGGCATTTAGATGCCTCATTTAATCCCAAGGCTAAAGGGAGTTAAAGGAGTTGGCAGGACACGCTGCGTAGCTCCACGCTGAGCTGCTGTGGAACAGAGGAATTATGAAGCTTTACTTCTAATGGCCATAAATAAAAGGCAGGAGGGCACAGCAGTGTGCCACAGTATCCCACCCAGACCCTCCCCTCCCCAGGCAGGAGGGCTGTTCCTCCTCCAGGAAGGACCTGGGGCTGAGTTCAAAGCCCTGGTCCAGGAAATTGCCAGAAGAGCCAAACGTGAGCTTACAAGGATTTTGCAAACGACAACATGCTTGAAATTTCTCTCTTTTCAAGGAATCTATTCTAGTAAATCTCTTCTGGCTTAATTTAGCACAGCCAGCCCTTCCTGTTCCGAGGCACAACTCATGCTTCACAACTCTCCCAGCAGGTTGCATCAGGAGAAGCTGTAAAGATGACCAGCGTGCTAAGGCATGCAGGAAGCAGCCAGTGGGGCAAAACAGCAAAAGAAGTGCCTGCCTGACAACCTGCACACATGGGAAAGACCCTGCCTCACTCAACAGACTGCTGGCACGCAGCTCAGGTGCAGAATCACTGCCACCAATACACACACAAATGGCTGACATAAGTCTTTTTATGTCAGCATCACAAGGGCTTGTTTACACTATTTGAGTAAATGAGAGAGCATCAAAGAGAAATTTCGGTTGACTGCAGTTCCAACGTGGCACCACCTGCCTGCTGCTGCTGATCAAACCTTGTGCCTCACTCACTGCTCTGTGCTGGGCATCAGGACCAGGAACTCTGCACAGGAGGAGGGGGTGAGCAGCTGATCAGCTGCCAGAGACACCTGCTTGGATTTCCATGCTTGAAAGGCACGGCCTGGTAAGTCAGCACATTGCCCACGTAAAGCTGAAGTGAGCTGTGTGCTTCCCACAGTGCCACCCACCTCGAAACACCTAAGGAGACGTCTGGTAACGCAGCAGTTTGCAGCTGGAGGTATCACCAGCTCTCTGGCTGGTCTTTCCTAAGAATCAGCTCCACACAGCTCTCGGGAGGAATCCTGTTAGCCCAATTGCTCTCAGGTTGCTTCGAGCACATGAGAAGACAGAGCAGAGCCACTCAGCCTGAGCAACACACCAGCAAGTGTCCTGCACTCACTGCAGCACGGGGATCATTAACCCAGCTGGCACCAGCCCAGCGTGCTGAAACAGTACAGCAAACACCACAGGCACTAACAGGAAACGGGACCCAGGGAACTGTGGAGCAGGGCTGGGATGATGGTCATCATCAGGGGATGATTACCACATTATTCCCAGCAGGAACGTGCATCAGTTCCCAGATAGGTCCTTTGGCTGCACATTCAGTAGCCATGACCTTGTCCTAAGAGCTGGAGCAGGGCTGCAGTGTGTAGGGGTGACCAAAGGGCTCCTTCCCTTGCTCCAGGCACTGCTGAGGTCTGCCTCAATCCCAACTGCCGTTCAAGGGAACACAAGTCTTCCCTTTGTAGTTGCTATTTGTCAAACTGGTCTTGCAATTCACATACCCCCTAGCTTAGGATCAAGCCTACAAAGATGGGGTTCAGAGCCCAGCGCCACACCTGAGAGGTTAATCTTACCTGCACAATGTCCAGCACCATTCCAGCAGCAACTGTCCCAAAGCCTGCCAGGAGGAAGGGGAAGAGCACTTGCAGCCCGATGGAAAAGGAGGTCTCCTTGAGCGGAGAGGCTGGCTCAGGGCCTCTGTCTGTGCTGGTGTCATCACTTTCGTTGCTCTGGCTGCCATTTTCCAGCAGGGCATCCTCTTCTCGCACACCTTTAGCGTTGGCACGGGACTCCAGCACCACCACTTCCACCCCGACGCCATCAGGTCCCAGGAAATTGGAGGGCTCCACCAGCTGCCCCCGGTCCGGACTGACGAGGCAGTCCATGGGCACAGCAGGCAGCACGGCACCATTGGCCTGGTGGGTCTCCTTCTGCTCTGGCTTGGAAGACATGCTGCACAGAGGCTATCCTGAACCTCAGCTCGGTGGGCCTACAGCCAGCAGCTGTTCCAGAAGAGACCTTCTGCCAGGAGCTTACACAAATGGCCTTTCCGGCATCTAGAGGCCACCTCTCCTACCCCTGCTCTCCTGCCTTTGAGTGCAGAGACTGCTCCCGCAGCAGAGATCCCCATCAAGCAAAGTCCAGGAATGGGGGACACCAACAGCTGAGCCAGCAGAGAACACAGCGGGACCTGGGAGCTACAGCAAGTTCTTCCTTGTCCTCCTTCCTTCCAGCACTGGGAGGTACACAGCCACCAAGGCAGGATCCAAGCTTCTCCTCTTTGACGTGTGAGGCTTTAGCACATCTTTCTCCAGGTTTTCTTCCAGCAGCACAGCTGTTGTGATGGAGCACACGAGGCAGAGTGAAAAACAGATGCAGTAAAGATCACTGAATAAAACAGAAGCTTAAAGGAAGCAGAGGAGAGCTGTGAGATGGGTTGGCTTTCAGGGTGATACAATCCAGCTCTTCTTACTCTCAGGGCTTTGTTACTTTCTCCAGTGGCACTTTTCCTCTGCAGAACTCGAGCCTGACAGCTCCTGCAGGCGTTTGCTTCGATCCAGCCTGCTTTCTGCTCTCTGCCAAGCTGCCAGCACCGCCAGCGAGTTCCAAGTGTCACCGCCGTCCTCTTCCAAAAGAAATTTCTCACCTTACAGCACGAGGCACGGAGAGTTCTTATTTAAAGTAACAGCAGCTCCCAGTTAAGGTTACTTACTGAGGCGAGCAGGCTGCAGGGAAGGAGCTGGCATTTAGACTCTCCTCTCCGAAAACCCGGCTTTCACCTGAAACACACCGAAAGGAAAACATAAAAACAAAAGGTGATTCTTTAGCTCTCGCAGCACAACGCCTCATTCATCCCGCAGCATCCTCCTTCGCAGCTCGACACGTCGACAGCCGCCGCGCCGCTCCGGTCGCTCCTCCCAGCCGCGGTGCGGTGCCGGATGGCCGCGGACGCTCACGCGGAGCCCCCAGCCGGGATGCCGCAATCCCGCAGCGCTCGCAGCCGTTTTTCCCCCACGCCACGGGAAGCACGCGGCTCCCACTACCCGCAGCGACCTCGGCCGACCCCCCGCCCTCCAGCACTGGATCCCCGCGGGGCCGAGCGGCTCTCGCCCCTCCGCCCGCCGTCTCGCCTCACCGCTCCGCTCCGCCGCCCGTAGCCGTGCCCATGCGCGGCGGGGAGGGGCGCGCTGCCCACGCACCGAGCAGAAGCCCCGCCCCCCCGCCCAGAAAAGGGGGCGTGGCCTGGATCACGTGACGCCGAGCCCACCTGGAGCGCTCCGCGCTGCCGAGCGCGAGCCAAAGGGAGCTTCGTAATTAGAGCTCACGTCAATTAAGCGAGGCACCGCGATTAGAGAGCTCGTTTGGGACGCAGGCCCAAAAGCACCGACTCGGCCCGAACGCCCCTTTGCTTCTCAGGCCTCTGCCAGCCCGAAGGCTTCAGCAAAGACAGCCTGCAATATCAGCGCGTGCACCAAACCCACCGTAAAAACCTCCAGCTGCTCCTCCCCGCTCAGTGCACAACTGCCTTCCTGACCGAACCGAGCTCTGATTCCTGTTTCCCTTTTATTTCCTTTTTTTTTTTTTTTCTCTCCCCCTGCACAAATGAAACTTGTGACCAGCGGCTGTTTTTCCTTCCTGCCTTCCCTTCCCTTCTCTTTCCTCCCAGGAAGCAGCCAACCACGAGTTGCTGCCCGGAGGTGACGCCATGCCCAGCTCCGTGCCCTGGGGATGCTCAGGAGCACCACCAGCATTGAGACGTGCATGGGAGAGGAAGCACAGCTCAGATCTGTGCCCTGCGGCTGCGGTGACTTCATTCCTCACAGCAAGGAAAAGGAGGCAGCTCCTTGAAGGCATCAGGACACACATCGAGGCTGAAGACTCTAAAGATGTGTGCTGTGCTGCTTAACTCTTTTCTGCTCACGTTGAATATTGGGAGTTTGCTGAAACATTTTGTACTTTGGAAGCAAAGGCGCAGCAGAATACATCCAGCTATACATACAGAATATGTCTATTATCCATCTATCAAGCAGTATGAAGATAGCTCCAATAAAACTACCATGGTTTTCCAACTCCCCCTGGCCCCAAAACCCTTTGCAGGTGTCTAAGAAAGCTGAACTGCTGCAGCAGATCAGCACGCTGCTTTCAGTGCGTTAACAGCAGCCAAGTGCACTCCACTTTGCTCCTATCTGCTGCTGCTCTGTCTACTTGAACCCACTGTTCCAAAGGCTAACGAGCATTAGTGATACATTTGTGCTAATTTAATTCTCACAACCTGTGATGTGATACTGGCAAAGAACCATAGAAAATCTGAGGCATACAGAGTGATATCTAAACTGAAGCACTGGTCTAGCATTAAATGTGGAGGTTGGTGGCCCTACCTGTGGCAGGTGGGTTGGAGATTCATAATCCTTGCAGCTCCTTCCAACCCGGGCCATTCTGTATTTATGTGAATCAGCAGCAGTTCCACACTGCAGCTGGGATGGCAGCCTCAAATCCTGCCCCCAGCCTTCGTCCTCCTTTGTCCAAACAAACCTGGTCTGCAAGGCTGTGCCTTCATCTTTCCTTCCTGACCTGGAAAATTCATCTCTCCCCCAGAATAACCACTCTTCCCCCACCCCCATAAAGACAACGTGCACCAAAATGTGACCTTGTTGATCAGCAGCCCGGCCAGCTGCACGCTCAGGAAGTGGAAGCGTGAAGACAAAAAGCTACATGAGACAAGGGAACAGAAATAGATGAAATCCTCAGCAGCTACGCTGACGCGCAGAGATCAGAAAGGCAGAGGATGAAAGGGCAGGAAATGGCTTTCCAATTACAGGGGAGCAGGTACCAAAGGCAACAAATGTTTGGAAAGGAAAGGATTTACCACTGAGCTACACTGGATCATGGAACTTGGTGGCCATGTGTTTCACAGCACTCACGTGAGTCCAGTACTGCCACGCTAACACAGCACTGTCCTGCTCTGGACATGAACAAGAAGATCCAGCAAAAGAAAGTAATTTGGTCAAAGCTGGTCAAAACTAAAAGCTGTCATATAATGTGAGAGTGTTCTGGGAGGTCTGGAGCCTTTGCTCCCTGTTCTAGCTTTGCTGCAGTCCGTCCCAGATCCAAACTCAGACTAATGAGGATATGGGTAATGACTTATTTACCCCTGCAGACGTCAGTCCTGAGCAAACAGTTCACCATAGCAGGCAACACTGGAAGCTGACCCCAATCTGGCCCTGATCTGGTAGAAGAAACGCAGCTCATGGAATTTTGTTTTCTAGCCCTGGAAACAAACAAAACCAGCACCATCCTTTTTCTCAAGGATTAAACAACGTCTCTCAACTGCACTCAGGTGTCACCCACGTGCTGTGTCTGCTGCAACAAACACAGGCTGCCCTCAGCCAGGAACATCCTGAGGGCTTTCAGCCATGGGAGAGCACCTGGCACAGGGGAGCTGGAAGGTTTTGGCTTCCTGTGCTCCAGGGCAAAGATTCCTGTGTCACAGCTGCTGATCCAGTGACAGCACAGACATCTGCCACGTGGGGACTGGAAACATGCCTCTCATTGCTGCTCTGCTCTGGATATAAGCTGCAAATTCATTTATATGCTGAAATTAAGGCGAAAAAAGGACTAACAGCACAAGGCTGCTGGGATGGAGAAGTGAGAATCAGCTCTTGACTCTCCACTATCCCCCACTCCATAATGGTCCCTTCACTTCCCAACAGCCCAAAGGGGACACTGGATTAATTCTGATGTCTAAGTAAAACTACACAGTACTGCAGTAATAAGATTTAAGTATCCAAGTGGACTTGGAAGGATAAAAGCACTGCAGGGCACATTACTCTTCTTAAGTACTTACACAGCTTGCCAGGTAGGCTGAAATCAGCCCTGTACCAAAGTTAGAGCACGGTCAGTAGGGAAGCTACAAAGTTTAAATGTGGTTTGGATACGTACATAACAGATGTAGTGGCTGTAGTACAGCCAGAAAAAGAAAAAAAAACAACCAACCTTTCAGGTTTCCTCTTGTAAGCTTTCTGGAGGAGCTCAACTCCCTTGCTGTGGCTTTGGATCAGTCTGTGACAGTAACCTGCTGCTGCCTCTCTCTAATCACCTTTATCAAACAGAAAACACAAAAATCAGCTGGCAGAGCTGTGCTAGCCAGACAGAAAGCATGCAGAGAACCTCAGCATTGCCATGCAGTGAGCACAGCCTGAGCAGAGGATTATTGCCATGAGCTAGAAGGAGCTTTCTGATTACTTAGAGAAGTAACTGAAGTGCAGCCAGGCTCCTCCGTGTGGCTGTCCCAGAAGTGCACTATTGGGCACAGTGCTCAACCATCCAAGTGCTCACAAGGCTACAGTAAACCACAAAATGATGCTGGATTAAAGTTATAAAACAAAAGATACGCCCAAAAGCTTCCTGGGATACGCATTGTCACTTTGCACGTTGCCCCTCACACCCCACTGCCCAGGCACAGGCCGACACAGAAGTGCATTCACTCTTTGTCTCCCACCCGTTGCACTGACCACCCTTCCATGCAGTCATTTTCCTTCCTGCTGAGAACTGAGTGCAGCTTCCTTTGGGGCCCCCCATCCCAGCTCTGAAATCAGTCAGCAAGATCTCTGCAGTGCAGTGCAGGGCAGGGCAGGGCACTCCCTTCCCCCCCATGCTGAGCTCTTGATCACAGCCTCCCTGGCAGCTGAGCCCCCTGCACGGCAGTGCTGACCACACGCTGTCTGTGTTGTTTGGTTAAAGCCAATAAACCCCAGGGCAGCACTGCTGAATACCTCCAGGCTTTGCTGTGAGCACTGGCAGATGGTGGCATGCGATTGGTAGGGCTGTAAAAGAGACCTCAGAAGTGAAGGCAGTGTCATTTCTCTAAGAGCTGAATCTAGGGACTAAAATGACAACCCCATGGCTGTGTTTCTGAGTGCCAGCAAGCAACTCTGCCACTGCTGAGGACTGCATGCAGTGCAAAGGTCAATGCTGGATTCATCCTCCAAGCTCCTCAGTGAACGACAGAATGGCTTAGGTTGGAAAGGACCTTAAAGACACCCAAATTCCCCACCGTGGGCTGGCTGCCCCCACAGCTCAGGCTGCCCAGGGCTCATCCAGGCAGCACCTCCAGGGATGGGGCACCAACATTTCTCCATGGCCTCACTCTGAGTGAAGAATCTGCCCCCTCACATCTACCTTAAACTCCTTGTTCTGTGGCACTGACAAGAGCAGGGCTCGGTGATGGACACAGCCTGCACTGTGTTCTCATAGCACCTGCTTGAGCAAATAGATTCACCAATGAAACAGCAATCAAAATGGCAAAGAGAAGCCAAAAGCATGGACCAAATGTAAGGCTGGAGGGAAACAACTCTGTAAACACCTTGTTCCTGCATTCTTCTTCAGCCCCGTGCCTGAACTCTGCGTGGTCACTGAGGAATCAAAATAAACCATGTTGTTTTAAATAGATGCTAGCAACAGAGTTTGCTTTAGACAGTGCAGGCGTGGAGCACGACCTTCTCACCATCCTACTGCAGGCACATATGACCCTCCATCAGCTGGGGTGCCAGCAAGCAGGCTGCTACTTCTGAACAACAGACCTGCTGCTCTGAGAAACCACTGTCAGAAGAATGGCAGCTTTGTAAACTTGCCTATAAAGAAGGAAGTTACCATGGCTTTAACACAGGAACCTGTTAATGTACTGGAATCTGACTAATGCAAACAGCATTCACAACCCTGGTAGATACAACGCCAAGTTACGTGTCTTCAGAATAGAAAATCAGGCTTTTAATTCTCTGATGAATCAGAGGTAATTGCCCTGAATGACCACAGCACTGTGACTCATTACAAAAAAAAAAGAGCCAGAGCTATCAATCTGTATTTGTGACAGTGTACTTGATATCCCCAAGCAATTCCTTATGTTACACAAAGTATGGGATCTCAGCAGAAAAGGCTGAAGCATCATCCTTAGGTTTTTATTTTCATGGTGACACGAAGATTTCAAACACCACACAGGATGAGAGACGGTTCTGGAGAGCAAATCATATGAACAGAAAAAGGAGCAGGGAAGAAAAACTGCTCTGTCAGAAGAGGTGTGCAGATACCAAACGCTGAGCAGCCCTTCAGAACTGGGCCAGATGAGGTGGCACAGCTGCTCATCAGCTGGGAATACGAAAGCAAAGCTGCTGCATAGAAAAAAAAACAAAGCAGAAATGAACTGGAAAGAAATGGGGAAAGGTGGAAAACGTGCTTTCCACCACTGCATCCTGATGGATGAGGCTTTCAGGTTGAGTGGGTTCAGGTTGCAAGAAAGCTCTGCTGAATATCTGCACGTTGCAGAGGCACCGCATGATGAGCAGTAATTAATGAGGTTCTGCAATGAAATGCATTAGCAAAACCTCATGGCACACATTTGCACGTTACCTGCCAAAAACAACCATGCCTTCCCAGAACTGCTTTGCTCTTCACTTTTCCTTCAGCAGCAAAACGAATCTTCAAATGAATTGCTTTTAAAGAAACAGCCCTCACCAAAGCACAGCTGATGAGTGATTTTTGTTTGGGGACAGGAAATTACAGAAGAACGAAGGATGCTTTATGTCTTTAGGGCTCATTTGCTATTAGAACAGGCAACAAATCCCTCCTAAACACCACCATCTCCACTGCACAACAGCGTGGCCTAAGATAGGATTTTTTGCAACGTGATCCCTACAACAGAATCAGAACAGTTAAGATTGGAAGGGACCACGAGACACCATCCAAGCCTTCACTTTACTACCCAGTAACACATAAACAGAGTTAGCTAATTTTTGTATCAAAAGAACACCAAGGAGGGTACAAAGACTACAGCAGGCTGGAAAATATGTGGACTTGTTTTGATGGAAACTTTGTGACTCGCTCTGCTGTAGAATCAGGTGTGGAAATGATTTCACTGCAATTATAGAGGTACATCATAAAACTAAATAATAACCATGAAAATAATCTGCACTCATTGCTTTATTAGATAAAAGTGCTGATTTGGTTTCAGTTATTTAATAGCTTGAGACAGTTCAGCCCATTGGCAATACTGATAAAATCAGTCTGCAAATCAACAGAAAATGCTGAATGGGTGTCAGGAATCACAGTGCCACTGTTTTTCAGGATACATTCCTGGGTATTTCCTGCACATCCCAGCACATTTTACACTATGAATTAAGAGCAGAACAACCATCCAATTCCAGGGTATCACTCACACTCAGAAAGAGAGACACACATCTCTGCAACAGTGCAACAGCAGAAGGTTCTATAGCAGACTCTGCATGTCAGTGCAAGAAAACAGCCTCCACACAGTCTTTTCTTTGGCTAATGGTCAGTTCTGAATTCTTTAACAAATAACAGTAATTCCAACTGAACAGACTGTTGAGGCCAAGAGAACGTTTAACCCTTTAGTGTCAGCAAAGACAGGTGTGCTAGTGCAAGAAGAAGTAAAAACACAGGCATTATCAATGGCCTGTGCACATTAGACTTCCCAGAGAGCGGAGTCAGTAGAAGCAGCAGGTAAAGCAAGGAGTGGAAGAGCAGGCCATGAAGGTGGAGAGAAAGCTCTGCTCCCTCTGAGCTGGAGGAAATGGGAGAGCTTCACCATCTTTCACAAAGTTCTCTGGGGAAGAAAAGAGGAATGCTATAGGAAGAGATTCAGTGAAAAAAGGAACAGGATCATCAGACAGTTCTGTTTAGTTTACCTGTTCAAAGCCACGTTTCCTTACTCAGACACTCAGCATCACAACATGTCCTGGGCCTCACTAAAGAGACAGTCACAGAAAAGAGAGGAAAAAACGTTTCTAGCACCACACAGATCAGAGCAACTCATGTTAAAGCAACATTGCTAAACCCCTCAAAGCTCGGCATTTTAAGCTACAATCAGAGATCAGTCAGAAAACAGCAGCATCAAATTCACCCTGGCATCACCTGAGAGCACCACTGATGCTGGTTAAAAGATCAGCTGGGAAAGGAGCCCATCTCACCAGCAGTGCAACAGCCTCTTAGTGCAGCTGTATCCAACGACATCCCACCTCCACCCCATCATGTTCTCTTCACTGAGCTTCTCACAGGCACATTTGTTTCATTAGTGAAAACTAATTAGCTGTAAAAGACAACTTTGACGTTGGCAGATCAGCCTCTTTTAAGGATGCGTGAATGACTACAAATCGCAGCTTCGACTTTTAAGCGACTTCCAATTTCAGAGGCTTAAAGACTGGGGAAAAAAAAAGAGGCTGAAAAAATTAATAACATCAGATTAATGGCTGCACGTAAGGGCAGGAATGCACAGAAATCTGGGTGGTTGTGTTTTGTCCCTATTCTTATCACTGAACAGCAAACTGTATGTTTGCCTGGAGCTGCAAACCAGCAGTGTTTCCATCTGTATGTAAACCACAGTATGTACAACCAAACTCCAGACATCACTCAACGTGCAACACACAACTGCTGCTTATGGCCCAGAGCTCTGCCATCCCAAAGTCCACCTCAGCAGCTGCTCCTCTTGGGTTTTTGTCTCACAGCTCATGAGAGTTTGCGTGAGGCTCCGGAAGCTCGTCAACATCGCAGTTCTTAATGAGCTGAAAGAGAAACTCGACCTGTTTCTCATAACTCTCAATTGAGATTCTCTCATTCAACCCATGGATCCTGGTAGAAAGAGAAGAATGTTTTTCACTCCAACTTGCATTTGTGACCCACCTGCACATACCCAGCACCTACTTGCCACCTCATTAAGCAACGCTCAGCACAAAAACACAGCAACAGATGCCAATAATACTGCAGTGTCTGTTGCTCAATCTAACTGAAATAATTTACTGATCCTAAGGCTCACAGCACAACTAAACTCACGATGTACATGGAAAAGAAAACTTATCCCAACTCTCTTCCCACCTCCTGACCATTCATATCCCTGTCCCACATAGCTATCAAAGCATTACAGCACTCCTGTGACACCTGCACCTCAGCAAGATGATAAATGGACACAAAGAAACAATCCTTTGCATGTTGGAGTTCTTGGTTATTGCTTTACCCCAGAAAATCTAACTTTAAGGTGCAAACAAATTCAGTGTCCAAACACTGAACTCTTAAGGCCAAGCACCAGAACGATACCTTTCACACTGCAGCACAATCTAAAGGAGCCAGTCAGCCTCACTGTATTGCCAACACCTGAATGAGGTCTCGCTCACATTTAGAGTAAAGAAGAGTAAGGGCTAACACTCTCTCAGTGTAATTACCACCCCCTATTTGTGCAGCACCCAAATATGCAGGAAATGGGTGGCCTTACAGAACGTGCAGCAACACCAGCACCACGCCAAGGTACACAAGGCTGGGTTTCCTTCAGCCTAAAGCATATCAATTCTCTCTTTCTCTACTCCCCACCCCAAACAGCTGCCCACATGCAGACAGAACACGGTACCTGGGAAGATCATCTGACTTCAAGAGCACCGGGTTGAATCGATAAATGGCACCTGTGACGTTAGTGAAATGCCTGCTGTCTGTGTTTCCAATACACGTGCCTGGAAAACAAACCTCAGGTTTACTGTGCAGGGCAGCAGCAATTTAATGACTCACACTTTTTTCCCCAGGAGAAAGGAAAGGCGTCTGATTACAGTTCTGTGTGACACTGAACTGCATCAAAATCAAAAATCACTGAGAACAGTTTGTTGGAACGTCCTGGAAGAACAGCATTCTCTCCTTCATGGAGAAGAGGAAGTGAACATATGATTCAGTCATTCTAAGAACAGCTGTGATACCAAACCTGCACCAAAGTTCAAGCTTCAAACTGCAGTCCAACAAATAGTACAGAAATAGAAAGGAGCTGCAAGGGAAGGGGCTGGGATCATAAGGAACAATACAGAAAAGTAGGAATGGCTTTGCTAGCTCTGGAAACAATAAAAGAAGAGCTAAAGAAAGAAGACCTCCTACTTTCCCCTCACAATTCCTTTCTTCCCTGAAGAGATTCCTTTGTGTGTGCAGAGAGTCAAATTCAAGGCTCATTGTTCCTGCCGGTTTCCTGTTTGCTTTTTTACTTCCAGCACTAAAAACTAACATAAAACTTGAAAACATAAAGAGGGAACTGAGTAAAAGAGGAAAAAACAGCTGCTTCCAGTAGTTAACAGCTGGGGTGGAGAAACAGAAAATGGAAACAAGGCAATACTGGGAGGTGGGGGAGAGAAAAGCAGGGAGGAAGCTGAAGAGGAAATAACTGTCATGTGCTTGTTGTTACCTGGGACGACACTGTCAACATTTGGGAAAGTATCCAGAATGGTTCTTTGAAAAACATGGACTCCAAAGGTCTGGTCATCCCACGGGCTGATGGGAAGGGGGTCAAAGGCCTCTACAACATCAATCTTCACTCTGTCATCAGCAACCGTGTTTCTAACTGTCTCTAGCACCTATGGGTAAATGACAGAGATTAATAATAATAAAGAGAAGAAAGAAGTGAGAGCATCTCTTCTAGATGTCAATATACTACTTTGCAGATGTTTCCCTATGCACTGCTAACTTTTGCTCCAAACACAGATGCAGAATTAGGAAATGGTGTGGCAGCCTCTCTTCCTTTACTGGGAGGATGGCTGACATTCAAGCAAACATTTTTGTCTCAGTGCAATCAGATGCACATCACTGCCTCGAGGTGTTCCTCAACTACTTCAGCTCTGACAGCTTGTTGCCCCTCTCCTTACTACTTTAATCCAGAACAAGCTTCCAGAAAATACAAACTTCCAGAGGTTTTGGAAGGGAAGACACGACTTTTTGATAATTTATCACAGCTGTCCTTGGCTGAGCAGGAATGTCCAGCCTGGAGCATGCAAGGCTCACACATCCTCACAAGTCACAAGTCCTAAGCTTTATTCCATTCCAAAATCACATTTAATGCAATATGCTCTTTGGCACAAGGAACCTTTTGAAATCTGCTCAGTGTAATTGCAAGACACGATTCCAAGTTCAGTCTGCCTCTTGATCTGTTCCACATTCAGAAAATACTTGGAATCTGTACAGCATTTCTGAGAAGGTTGTTCTGAATAAACTCTATTCCGCTCATAAGCAGGTCAGCTTTGCTGACTTGTACTGCACTCCTAAAAACAATACCCAGAACAGAGCCTGACTGAAGCAAACATACCCAAATGTAGTGCAGTACTGAGGCTAAGTGAGGAAAAGGCAATAGAAAACAATGCACTTTGCACTCTATCTCAGAGGAGAAAGGACAGGAGGTCAGCTGCACTTCTGACAGCCTCCAAAAAGGAGCAGCCCCCAGACCTTCCCATGAAGAGAGATGAAAAGAGTGTTCTGACATCTACTGCCACAAGGGCTAAGTTAATTTCAGATGGCAGAGCTTCACTTTGCTGTGGAGGGATGGAGAGGAATGGGGAGGACACTCACGTGCCTGTATACCAAGGCACTGCATTCCCACATCCCATGTCTGAGCTGTGTTCTGTGTGGTTCTCAAGTAGAATACACTCAAAAGCTTGGAAGGCAGAATGCAAGACAGCATGGAGAAGCATTAAAACAAAAGGAAGCTTCCAGTCAGCAGAGCAGCCATTAGTTATCTGTTTCAAAGGTAGAAAGAAGTAAATTATTTGAGATGAGAGCAAAAAAGAATGAATAACTGTGCAGGCAGGAATACCTCCATGGCCTTCTCTGCAGAGTGGATCCGGAAGTTCACAGTCGCTCTTGCAGATGATGGGATGACATTGAGCTAAAAGAAAAAATAAATGTATCAGAACATAAAAGGAAGGTTAGAAACAGATTAGGAAGGCAGCTGCAAACTCAGAAACTGCTCAGTGATGCTGGGCCTCTCAGGTGGATGCGTCACTCCATTTCCACTGGTACCAATACAAGATCTGTTTTGTACCCAGCATTCAAATGCTGCCTCTCAGTTACAATGCAGATAAATACAAAAATAAACAGCCATTGGGTCAGTGAAAAAATGAAGCCAGCTGCTACACAAAAGCTTTCCTCCTATGATGAGACACTTGCCTTCAGAAACTCAGCATTGAGAAATTTCAGGCAGCTTTTTTTCAGTATTTTTCCTTTTATGGCCACATTATTTCTTTTCAGTTATGGGCCATGTTGTGTCTTCACTAAAATAAGTAACTTCCTCCACAGAATATTTGAATTTTGTTGAAAACAACAGAAGAAATCAGTGTTACTTCTCTTGTGGCCACTCAGTGTCACTGTTCAGCCACTGTATCACTCCTGCATCAGGGACACACCAAAAGCCCTGTTTATTTTCCAGGGCTGTAATATTTTTAGGCAGCTACACCTCTTTATCAGGGCAAAATCTGCCTCTGTCAGCCAGAACTTGTTTTCTCTCAGTCCAAGGTGCATGCTAACCCTCCTCAAATGATGGTAAGAGCCTGACCTATGCTCACAAAAGCAAGTTCCCATCTAGGCGAGGGAAGCAGCTGTTTCTGTTCACATCCACAATACTTTGTGTGGTTTCTTATCTATCCTAAAATGTAAACAATTGTAATGTTGGCTTACAAATGTCTCTTTGTGACAGATTTCAGATACTTCAGACAGGAAATAAGTTGCAACTGCAGCTTAATTCAAGTCATGCCCGAAGTAAGAACCAGACTGGTTGTGACAGCACACAGGGTGTGAGATTAGGGCTGTACTGATCTTACAATTAGATGTATGCAGACAGAAACTGAAAGTCCCAACTGCCCCATTATACTAAACAAATAATAATAATAATGACAAACATTATCAAGATGAAGCTACCTTGATTCCTGCGTTAAACATTGTGACTGCTGTAGTAGTTCGAATCAAGGCATTAGTGGAAGGTTTCCAGGCAAGAACTCTTACAAAAAGAAAAGAATCATTTTTCAAAGACATTTCCTTAACAGAAGCACCACATTTACATAGGGAACAAGCTGAACTGAGGCCTGTTTAATTAACAAATTGCTTAAAAGCACTGACTTTAAATGGTGTGACTGATTTCCTGGGATGACCAGAAATCAGTTTCTGACAAGCCTCCGTTTCTTACAAGTGAGACTGAGTGTTCAGCAAGGATATGAATTCTTACCTGCTGACAATAGGTGAAAACAGCCAGAGATTGCTCATGATGAGATTGAGAGGAAAACTGAACTAAGTGGAAGAAACAGAACCAGACATTAGTAAGTTTCTAGCCGTCAAGATGACACGCTCATGCATGTGAAACAAGGCCAACAGGACAAACTCACAGCGTGGGATAAATGCCAGCTTCAGTCTTCTTTCCAAGAATTACATAACTGTGCTCCAAGCTCATATGCTGAGTTACTCTTCACTTAGCAATATGAAAAACTGGGAATTAAATGATGGCTCTTTCCTCACCTCTGATGCAAGGTGCTCCATAGTCAGGAGTTCCGGACCATGGCCGAACAGATTGCGCATGGGATTCTGCTCCAGTCTAAGGCAAAGCAAATCAACACTGGCAATTAAAACAGTCTTTGGCTGTTACTGCTTCAGAAGGCTGATGGGGATTTGGTTTCTAAAACCTATCTACGTATTGGAGATGTAACCATACTTTCAT